TGACAGATTTTGATCTATCTAAATATATTTTGAGTAATGATGAATATCTATTCTTTCTCTTAAACGAGACCCATTTGGGGACTAAGAGATAGCTCAGGTAGACATGTAAAGTGTATGTCGTCAAAGCATGGTAACCTGAATTTGATCTCCAGAGCCGACATGTGAAAGACAGGCATGGTGCTGCAGTGCTAGGGAAGGGCATCACTGGCCAGCTAATCATCACCCTTGTAAGGTAAATCCCTGGCTAAGGAAAGATCCTGTCTCAGAAAACTAGATAGAGGCCTCTTAAGGAACAACACTCAGCTGGGTGGTGGTGGCGCTCGCCTTTAATCCCAGCACTTGGGAGGCAGAGGCAGGTGGATCTCTGTGAGTATGAAGCCAGCCTGGTCTACAAGGCAAGTTCCAGGACAACCATTGCTACACACAGAGAAACCTTTTATCAAAAAAACAAAACTAAAAGGAACAACACTCATTGTTGTCCTCTGTCCTACATACCAACATATGCATGCACAGACATCTTCGTAAGAGTGGGAAACAGATTGGTTTGTCTTGTTTGTTTGTTTGTTTGATCAATCGGTTGATTGTAACAAGGTCTCCTTGCATAGCCTAGACTGCCTGTGAGTTTTGATTTTCCTGACCCTGCCACCCAAGTGCTAGGATAACAGTTATATGCTACCAACTAAAGCTTTAAGAAAGATTTTAAATGAATATGTTTGTCACACATGATTCTTGACAAATACTGAGGAAAGAAATTCTTTTTGGACTGCAGTTAAATTTTTCTTATATCTGAAATGAAATACATTTATTTTATAGAATCAATTGGATTTTTAAACTATTTTAAAACTATAAAATTTTCTTGAAAACTAATATATACATAAACTAAGAGAGTCACATTACTCAAAGCAGCATGGCAAAATTAAAGAACAAAACAACAACAACAAAAGAAAATAACACCAGAACCCAGAGATGCTGTCTTTTGGAATCCCTCCCAGAATAAATGAAATGTGAACATTAGACCTGGATAACTTTTGTGTTGTATTGGAAATTTAAACAAGACTAGAAAAGTCTCATGAAATGTCCGCCTGTTTCAGAGGGAATTGGTGCTACTCTCTTTACTATAAAACCTAAGTTCAAATAACTGTATATAGACGAATTTGACCATATCAAAGACAGAATCCTAGGGAGCTAGACAGACAGCTTCATGGTTAAGAGCACTTCTTGCTTCTTCAGAGGACCTGTGTTCAGTTCCCAGAACCACATGATGGGTCCTAACTATCTGTAATTCAAGTTCCAGTGGGTCCAATACTCTCTCCCGAGCTTCCTAGTCACCAGGCATGCATACTCTGCACATACATGAACTCATACACATAAGAAAAAAATCTAAAAGAAAAAAGGGTAGAAGCCCAGATGATGATAATAGAAGAGAACATTAAAATGGCCTGATTGCAAAGAAATTGGACCTTCCCAAACAACCACTATAAATGTGAACCAGGAGCTAGGGGTTGGCAATTGCATCTGCAGGCTGCCTGGATCATAGTTTTACTTTCCTTTACATCCAAGCTATGTTTTTGGCAGGAAGGTTTGAGAACCAGCACATAAAAAGCTGCAAATATTTGTGTTTGGTTTTCCTTTGTAAGATATCTATAGTAGTCTGAGAAAGTAAAGAGCTTTACGCCACAGCAGGAACTTCCTGTAAAAACTATAGTCAACAGATCTGCCTCCTTTATAAACATGCCTTTTGTTTCTTCATAGGATCTAGACATTTCTCAAATGTTTAAAGTAGAAACTTGCTCATTTGAACAGAACGCAGAATGTAAATGTGTTGCATGTGTCTTTACTGACCAGTAGGAATATAAGCAATATTTCTAAACATATTAGTCGGACTCTATACATGAAAGTAACATGCCAAAGGCACCTACAACTGAGGAGATGAAGTTGACAAAAATTAGACAATCTTTAAAAGCTATAAAGATGTCAGAGCAGAGTAAGCTGACTGAAAGTGAAGAACAGCTGAGGGAGGTATAACTCTGACAGATCTCCATGAATTGTAGATAGGCAGGTGTGCAGCTCTTGTATAGCCTGTTCCTAGCATGTGTGAGGTCCTCAGTTCAACACCTAGTGTCAAAATAAACAAATAAATAGCACAAAACTATACTTTATTGGGGACTGGAGAGATGGCTCAGTGGTTAAGAGCACTGACTGCTCTTCCAGAGTGACTCGGGTTCAATTCCTAGCACCCACATGGTGGTTCACTCGAGAATGGCAATTTTAGAAGGAAATATTTGGTCAAGATTAATATCATTGATAGGAGATTTCTAACCTGCTTTGACAGAAAGATTAATGTCAAGATAGAAAACAATATAATAATAAAATATTTATTAAGAGCCAATATTTATATTCATATATCCAAGACCAAGATTGATTAAAATGCTGTTTATCTTCAAAATAACATTAAGTATAATGGAATTAACAAATAATTCTTGTCTTCAAGTTAAAACCGGTAAGTCAAATGGAACCTAGAATCCAAAAAATTTGGTTACTTAGTTTAGTAATAATCATTAAACTGAATCCTTAGTCAATATGGTCAGGATAAACTAACAAAAGGTGTGTAAACAATTATCTTTAATTTGGGGGGAAATATCTTATGTTCAATTCAAATTAGACAAAGATTTAAATGTGAAATGTACCTATGAAATATTTAGAAATGTATTAGAAAGCTGGTATCTTTACTATTTTGAGTCAGAAAGTTTTGAGCAAGATTACTAAACATCCATCAGTGATGGAATTAGATCCTTCTCAAAGTGCAGTCTGGTCAGAGATGCCCTTCTTTCTCTCCTGTCTCCTATCTGTCAAGTTTTAGAGTGTGTCCAGTGATTGTGTAAATTAACCATTCCAAAATGCTTGAAGTTAGAAGAGCTAAACTGTTACAGACTTCTTATTAGTTAGAAAGATATATATATATATATATATATATATATATATATATATATATATATATATATATATATATATATATATATATGGTGTTTTTTTTCTCAGCTCCTCTTTAGGTCAAAGTAATTTAATCAGATATTCCAGACTCTCAGAGCTAGAGTGGACTTGAAAATCTTGCAGTAAAACCTCCTCACTGTACAGACTTAGAACATAGGCACCAGGAGGAGTTAGTGAACTGTGATATGTTCCATAACAGTGACACTGTGTAAGAACAGGCATCGTCTCTCCTCAGTCTCAGCTCTAGGATGTTTTATTAGACCAAAACTAAACCACTATTGATTCTAACAGATGTAATGGAAGGCTGTTGCTACTTCTAGTTAGGTGTTACATCTCCATGGGAATGATTTTGTGAACCCATTTCTTAATGGAATTTAAATGTATTTGCACTTTAAACTTAATTGTTAGAAATAAAAATAATTACAAAGACACCAAATAGCTTCACATACACACACACACACACACACACACACACACACACACACACACACACACGCACACACGAGAGAGAGAGAGAGAGAGAGAGAGAGAGAGAGAGTCTGATTCATGCTCAATAAGTCATGTGAGATGAATCAACTGAAGAGACAGCCGTTTAAATCTAAACCTTTTATTGCAGCTCTTCCAAACTACTAAATATACACTACAATTTGCACGTTGGAATGATATTCTAAAATATTATATAATCTTCTTCGACATCAAATTATGATGGATACACACACTGGGAAACCAAAGCCAGTTCTTTCCTATTAAAAAAATTCTTTTGTTATAGATTCGTCCCTCCCTATCTATATGAAGCAAATGGGAGTGTTATAAGAAGCGATTTGGCAGAACATCACTTGGAAAATGTCAGGAAGAAAAGGGCAGCTGTCACATATATGTAGGCATTTGGAGCATTAAAACCTTGCTGTGAGGAACAGTGAGTCATCTGGAATGTAATGCACAGAGGAAACTGACACATAAGAGAGCTGAACAATGATGAGTTCCCAAAGACAGGCACTGGGACAAAGAACTATTACAGATGGTCTATTTTGGGGTCTAACAGCATAACTTGAGAATTCTTTTTAAAGTCTACAGCTTAAAAACAGAAAAAAAAGGAACCATCTCATGAAGCTTTGAGTTTAAGATAACACAAATTAGCACAGTTTATTTTCATTAGTATTATTATACCTTAGCAGGAAAAATCATTGAAATATTAAAAAACCTTTCAGCCCAAAAGTAAGTTAGGGTAAGAAAATCTAATTAAGCATTGTGGGGAGGGGACTATCACGTGTATCAATAGAAGCATAATTATTTTCTTTGCCATAGCACTATAATGACTGGACACATCTGTCTTTCTAGAAGCACAAATGCCCTTGGCTGCTTTTTGACAGAATAAAGTTCACACTCTTTTCTAGGAAATCCCTAAAAATAGTACCTGGAATACTGAAAAATATTGAAACAACTCATCCCCCTACATTCTTGTTCTTTTATTTATTTTAAAAAAGTATCTTCTACTTTCTAAATATAAGAAACTTTTATCTCACCCCATTTATACACACATAATGTAACAGCAATTATGTGGCTAATAAAACAAAGAACTCTATACAAAGAAGATAGTGTGTTCAAATGAATAACCTTGCCACATTATAACACTTAATAACCATCTCTAGAGTATGTGATAAACATATATATGCATGGCTTACCTCATTAAATCACTAGAATAAAAAACCTGATAGGACACATTCAAAATTAACTTATTATTCCTAGTCATCTGGCCAAAGAAACACAATTGTAGAGTTAATTCTACTCCCCAATGTCTTGAGAAAATAATTTTGAATTGATAGGTGTGCATAATTCTACCCCTATCGGTAATTTATTGGGTTGCTACTGAAGATTTCTTTTTATTTAAAAGTTAGCTGTACACTACTCTGTAAAGTTTTGTTCCTATAATTAACATATTCTTAATATCCTTGACTTTATTGGCAATCCAACATGTTACTTTGAATATCTTGTTGAAATATATGCAATACCTGAGTGTTAGACCATCCAAAGTTTTGACAGTTGGTAGCACAAGTTGTTGGTGTAACATCATAGGGCCCTGGATGACAAAAGAACATTCCTGTGAATTTGGTAACATTATGAGTAGAAAGTGGAATTTTATAGAACTTAATTTAAAAGCATATACTAACTAGTGTGTTTCTCTGTTAAAATTACAATTTTAAATGGTATGTTTGAAAGGGAAGTTTGGAGGTTTGGAGGAGATATATCTGCCACATTTAAGTTACCAATAAGCTAGCCTGGAAGTTAAAAGAAAAAAGTTTTGCTTTGTAGCATGGCAACATATCCTTATAATGGGGTCACTGGGGGACAAAACATGAATGCAGATGTTTCCTATTGCTTGAGATCTTAGCACTAGAAGGAGGTGGAGTCTGCTTAAGTGTAGCTTTGCTCTGTAACTTGAAGATACCGTAGTCCCTGGCCTTCTGGAATTATTAAGGTGAAAGCTTACCAATAATTAGATATGTAAATGTCCAGCAGTCATAAGTGCGACAAAGAAAAAAAAAGCAGATAAAGGAAATAAAAGGAGAAGACTGTGACAGTCTGAAAAGTCTCTGAGGAGGTGGCATAGAAGCAGGGACTTTGTAAGGGGAGGGTGGCTGCTGTGACTGCCCTAGGGAAAGGTTAGTCCTCAAATGATGGCTTGATCAACGGTTCCAGGACAAGAGTGAGTTGGCTGGTTCTGAGGGTTAGCACCATCAGAGTGGAAATGTTAAAAGCAAGGGGGAGTCACAGACCTAGTCAAAGAAGAACACCAAGGCTTACTGGGTCAAAAATGAACTTGAACTCTTTTTACACAGAGTGCTAGTAATAAATGAATCTAGTAGTATTAAATAAAACAAATACTTATGTTGGCTTATATACACCTTTCCAGTTTGAGTGAATGTTGAAAGTAAGATGAAATCATAACATAGTTTTCATTGCTTTACATTCACACTGTATTAAAATTTACTGAACTTCAAGATGTCAAATTTGTGTTTTGTGATTTTTGTTGATTTTGTCCTATGATCTATTAATCTACTGTTATGCTTTAATGACCATCTAAGTCATTGTCAAGGATTTCTATAAAGTCAAGACAAGGGCTAATGTGAGCATTCAAACATATTAAGAAAGACTATTTTTCATTTCGCTTATTTTTTAAATTTATTTATTTTAAAAAGAAAGGTTTTTTTTTTCATTTTACATACCAATCCCAGTTTCCCCTCCCCCCCCTTCCCCCATGCCCCCACCTCCCCTAATCTCACCTCCCCTAATCTTCAGAGAGGGTAAGGACTCCCTTGGGGAGTCAACAAAGTCTGGCATACCAAATTGAGGCACGACCAAGCCCCTCCCCGCTGTGTCAAGGCTGAGCAAGATATCTCACCCTAGGGAATGTGTTCCAAAAATCCAGTTCATGCACCTGGGATAAATCCTGGTCCCACTGCCAGGGGCTCCCCAAACAAATCTAGCCACATAACTGTCACCCACATTCAAAGGGCCTAGTTTGGTTCCATGCATGTTCCCCAGAGTCCATGAGCTCCCACTGGCTTGGGTCAGCTGTCTCTTTTTTAAAGCAATAAAGTATTTTGTGAACAAAAATTTATTTTAATTATCTTGTAATATTACTCTATAATTAAGAAAAATGTATCATGTTTCCATAATTTCTATATATAATTTTAATCTAATATTGCTATTATTAGGATTAGGATCTGGTTATATTAAATAGGTTTATTTAGATGTGAACCAAAGCTGTCTAAATCTAGAATCAGGATTTTTCTAAAAATGCTTTTGAAAAAAATAAAAACTCTTCAGCCTCAGGCTTTATTGGCACTCATATGGAATTCAGCAGGTTCAAAGTTGAAGTTTATTTTGAATATTTTCCCGACTTGTTAGAAGATGCCACTGGAAATAGAAACAGCTGAGGGACATCAGTGTTTTTTCTCAGTATAATTCTAAATTTTTCATTTTTTTTAATCCCAGTCAAAGTGGCCATGGAAGAATATTTTAAACCCTTGGGTAATCAGGTCATGAAACCAATTACACTGGTTATCATAAAATTAAAAAAGGAGTTAATTGCCCCCCTCATCCTGAATTTACTCATGGAGATCTCCTTTGTTTCCCCTTCCCAAAGCCATCCATGTGTCCCTCTTAGGGTCCTCCTTGTTAGCTAGCTTCTCTGGAGCTGTGGGTTGTTGTCTGCTTATCCTTTGCTTTACATCTATTATCCACTTGTGAGTGAGTACATACCATGTTTGTCTTTCTACAGTACAACATAATATTTACATATGTATGCATTGTGAAATGATCTAATTGAACTAATCCATCAGTTCACATAGTCAACAACTATTGTGGGAACATTGAAGATGCCCTGATCTAATCTTTGGAAACTGTGAATATGTTATAGCACACAAAACAGGAGAATTAAAGATGCATATGAAAGTAAGGGCTGTGTTAGATGACCCTTGGAACGAAGAGATTTTTTTTCCCTAGATTACCTATGTGAGCCAAGTATAATCACAAGGTTGCTTTTAAGTGCAAGAGGGAGACAGGGTATCCAATGAAAAAAAATATGGAGTTAATTTTGGTTGATAAATATCTTGCATATATTAACAAAATTATAGTGTATGAGATACCAGGTACTTTCATTTTATAAGAGAGACATTAAAACATATAGTATCAAATAATGTGGTAAAAGTAGATGAATATCCAATATGAAGTATTATTATACAAACCTCATGGAAATATAAGATATCTAGATAAAAATGAAAGAAACAACTGCTTTTGTTCAGTAGCAGAATGTCTAAATTGATTGGATAATTAAATTAAAATGAACTAAATCTTGAGAACATAGAAAAGAAATAGAGCATGTACACATAACCAAATAAGCTTTCTTCATGAAAGGTTGCTATAGTCAATAATTAAGCTAAAGAGAAATAAACCTCCACCTAACTGTATTAAGTAGAAATCAAAGCCTTAAAGAAACAAACGAGATAAACTCAACTGATGGTTATAAAGATAATTATGTAGTTGCCATATTATGACTTATGTGAAAGACACAAACTCAGTGCCTTCTATAATGTTTTAATGTATAAGAAGTTAATATTACAACAGTGTGGAAAGAGATACATCATATTCAGATGATTTGTAAGCTCCATAGCTTACTTTCAATATTTAATAGAATTTAAATATATAGAGAGAGGATAGATGATACATAGGCCAATGATTGACAAATGATACATAGATAGATAGATAGTAGAAAGATGATTGATAGATGATAGACAGACAGATAGATAGAGAGAGAGAGAGAGAGATAGATAGATAGATAGATAGATAGATAGATAGATAGATAGATAGATAGATAGATGATGCACAAAAAGTAGATTAGTCACAGTTCCTCCAAATCGACTACTTCAATTACCTAATTTGAAACAAATGTTTGAAAGGAAAATTTTTATTCTTTTTACATGCAAATTCACCATGATTCATGACCAGAGAGATGTAAATCAAAACCACAATGTGATATTGAGTTACACCCTCCAGACTGGCGAAATTAGAAAGTTTCACAGCAATTCACAGTTTTGGAAAGGCTGTGGTGCAATAAATATCTCATTTACTATTGTTGAGAATTTAAATTGGGTCAGCACTATGGATTGCTTGGAAATATGTTTTATAAATCTTTTCTATATGAAATTCATACAGGTGTATAAGGAGATATGTAGGGGAACTGTTTATAACTTCCTTGCTTGTAAAGGTCAAATGTTGGAAGCAATTCTAACATTCCTCAGCAGGAGAAAGGATAAATGCATTCTGACACATTCATGCAATGGAATACTGAAGTAGTGTTAAATAATATATCACACAACACACTCTAAGAGTGATTTACCTCAAAAAGCACAATGCTATGTGGAAAAAAAAAAGCAATTGACACAAAAAATATGATTGCACTTTTATACAGTAAAAATCAAAACATTAAAGATAAATAATATATTAATTAGAAAGTCATAACAGGAGTAAGTGATCTCCAAATATCTAGAACCTGGTGGGGTTGTATGTGTGAATAGTTAGGCAAGAACTTGATGCTCAGACAAACCAGGTTCTAATAAAGGGGTGTTAAATTTATGATAGATACAATCTGCAAGTGAGATACAAAGTTTAGAGAGTAAACTCTGTAGAGTATCAACACAGTAAGACTGTCTAGAATTGTGCATTTTGAATCTTTAAGTCAAAACATAGAAGTATAGTGTATGACGTAGCACGAATTGTTAGAAGGTCTTATTAATAAAAACAAACCCAATGCCAGTTATTGGAATGAATGCTGGGAGATCAGAGAAGCAGAACAAGCCACAGCCACCTCACCTCTTGAATTCCTCAGCTGATCTTGTTTCCTCAAACTGGAAGCCTCTGTGCCCTCATCAAAATGGATCTCAGCTGAACTGCTGCTAAAAGCCTAAAAATTTAACCGGCTCCAGTTCCTGATCCTCACTTACATACCTTTCTGCTTCCTGCCTTCACTTCCTGGGATTAAAGGCGTGTGTCACCATGCCTGGCTGTTTCCAGTGTGTCTTTGAACTCATAGAGATCCGGATGGATCTCTGCCTCCAGAATGCTAGGATTAAAGGTATGTGTGCCAGTGTTTTCTGTCCTCTATATCTTGTGGCTGTTCTGTTCTCTGACCCCAAACAAGTTTGTTAGGGTGCACATTATTGAGGAACACAATACCACCACAGTATGATGAGAATACAGGGGAGAAGGCTTTGACTCTCATAGTACAATCCAATTTGAAATTTTTTCTTCCTTTTACAGTCAAAATATTAGAATTTTCATGGGAGTTCACAAGTATTGTTAAATGAAAAAAATGTATACTAGAAATTTAATGAGAATGATTTATTTGACTGATTCTAGCCATCTGATTTTGTTTTTAAAAATCTACATCATACTTTTTTTCTGAGTCCTCTAGGAAACTAGTGATGGAATTTTAGGTAACTAATGATGAAAAATCCTTGAATCTAACCAACCAATGTCTGATTACCCCTGTTTGACTTAAGACCCACTCCACAAGAT